TTTTTTTTTTTCCCGCAAAACACGGATTTCCAAAATCCGTGTTATGAATTAAAAAAAATCCGGATTAAAAATTTGACCGTTGACATAAAAAAAAAAAAAAAGAAACACGGATTATGAAAATCCGTGTTTGTATTAAAAATTTAATTAGAAACACGGATTTTCAAAATCCGTGTGTTTGATTGATTTCCACCAATTTTTTTTTTTTTTTATTTTTTTCCACAGATTTTTGTTTTTTTTCAAATAAATAATGCACCCCATATAAATCCCACCAATGCACCACCACCATAATTTATTTATTTATTCACAATATTGTTTTTTCTTGCATATATAATTATAAATATACACTTCTTTTTCATATTTCATAGGCTGAGAGAAATAAATTGAATGCAACCATGTATCTGCCCCTCGTTTTTTAACTGTCAGAAAAGAAATTTCGGCAGTGTTTGGATTTGCAGATAGCCGCTTTTCTGTGTAAATAAGGATAGAAAACTGAAAAGTGCAGGATTTCATTGAGAATGGATAAAAATATACAAATGGCGCCGTCATCTGTGGCCAACGGGACGAAGAAATTGGAGAAGCTGGCGGCCGGCGGCGTCGATCGGCCGACCAATCCAATGGTGACACCTCTGTTGACGGATCTCTACCAGTTCACTATGGCCTATGCTTACTGGAAAGCCGGCAAACACAATGACCTCGCCGTGTAATTTCTCTATCCTCTCTTTGTTTATTTACCTTCGATTGATTTTCGTTCGATGAGCTTATTCGTTGCATGCTTATTTCTTTGAGAGTATATATTTGTTTATGCGCTCAAAATTCAGCATGCAGGATTAGTGTCAAATTGCCCAGACGAACTCTTTTTTTATTTTTCTTTTGGAAGAAAACTGGAGAGTTTGATTTTCCGAGGACAATTTCCCCCCTCTCAAGCATGTAATTTTAATTGAATGCATAGTGTTATTCAACTCTGATTCGTCATCCTCAAGAAGTTGGTTAATTATGAAGCTTTCTTCAGTGCATCTGGGCCATTTACTATGTAGATGTCTATTTGAGTTAGTTATTAGTTTGAGTCTTAGTCATGTTATGCGTTTATTTATTAGCCTCAACCAACTTGAATTTAATTCATCACGATATCTTTGTTCCAGTTGATGGATGGAGTACATTTAGATGGAATCTTCCATGTGATTTGCCATATTAAAATTAAATTCCAGAATGAATAAATTTTCATTTTTCGATTCTAGTGTTGTGTTCAGCATGGCTTCCGTAGCAATTCATCTTATCATGACCTGCCCTTGGGAAATTATGCTTCTCATTAGAAATCATGAAAAGTTAAGCAGACATTTCCTCCGTTTTCGTTATATTTGAGGGTATTTAAGTTTGACAGACTGTTAAATTTTGAGCTAGCATCTTCATGTGCTTGATCTGATTACAGTTGATAATATATTCACATTCTTCTCCCTGGATACTAACATGTCACCCAGGTTCTCTGTACTAATAATTTTGACTCTAGTGGGACTTGTCATTAACTTTTCGTTTCAATTATAATTACATGCTATGAACTGAGAGGCATAACAATTTAAGACAATTTCTCATTCGCAATCTTATCTCCTTTTCCAGGTTTGATTTGTATTTTCGGAGAAATCCTTTTGGTGGGGAATACACAGTGTTTGCTGGTCTAGAAGAGTGCATAAAGTTAATTGCTAATTTTAGGTTCACAGAAGATGAAATTGCATTTATCAAGTCGTCCTTACCTTCATCATGTGAGGTATTTGACCCGGAGCCAAACTGATCAAGATGTTTTCTAAAGAAAATGCAACTTAATTCTTAAATTTTGGCGATGAGTAACTAATTAAGTGCAAACGTAATTGAATTTACTTAAACCATATTCTAAAGTGTGCAATTGAGGCTTCTATATGTAATATTTGCAGTAAGTGTGCTATTTGGGGTGTGTGTAGAAATATAGGTGCTTTGACTCTCTAAATTTGATTGTTTAAACCAAGATATCACATTCAACTAGTTTGTCAACCATAAGAAATCAAAATCTAATTCTTCAACTGAAATTTGATATTACATGGAAGCACGCAGGCTACGTAATAAAAATACCACAAATCATCTTAAACTAGGTCTCGATGGTTTATTTTCTTTTGGTTTATTACCTAAATAACTTGTTCACAGACAATTATTCATTCCCGGTTCCTGCTTTTGTTTTGCTAAAGTAAATTGTATGACACATCTGGTTTACTTTAGGCGAGTTATACGCTGTTCGTTATAGTGTTTCCAGGTTTGGCTCTCTTGCTTTAGGTTAATCAATGTTTGTCTCTAGGATGGCTTCTATGACTACCTTCGAGCAGTTGATTGTTCTAGTGTTGAGATACATGCTATTTCCGAAGGATACGTTGTGTTCCCGAAGATACCATTGATGAGAATCGAAGGCCCAGTAGCTGTAAGTATATCATAAAGATCCTTTTACAACATCAAATTCCCCTTTGTTTTTTCATATCATTGTTCATCCCACCACTTCTTAATACTGTCTTAAGGTTGTTCAACTGCTGGAGACACCACTTGTGAATCTGATAAATTACGCTTCATTAGTTGCGACAAATGCTGCAAGACATCGTTTTGTTGTTGGGAAGTCCAAGCTTCTTCTTGAGTTTGGGCTAAGACGGGCACAAGTAATATGCTTTGCCCATCTTATTCCATGTTAGAAAAAAAAAATATATATATTACCCTTTTTAATTAAGTAGTTGTATGAATGGCTGTTCTTGTCGTCTTGCTGCAGGGTCCTGATGGAGGTATAAGTGCATCTAAGTATTGTTATATGGGCGGATTTGATGCGACGAGGTGATTTGAACTAAAAAATATAAATGAATTTCCGTTACTTTCCTGTCTTGGCGTCTCGGTGCTTCTTTTGCTATGATTTAATTGTAACTGTGTTACTGAAATTGTGATAGAGATCAAGTGATACAAGGCATGAACTGTTGATGGTATATTCACGAATATAGAATAATTAAACAACTAAGGAAAAAAAATAAATCTACAGATTTGGTGCTAGTTTGGGATTTGGATGGTGTCCAACCCACTCTTATACACAATAACAACCGAGTGGCTAATAGATGTGACGGTTGACAATTAATAATTATATATTCTATTGCTTTGGCTATTTGGCTAGATTAGTTATTTGCGGGAAGAATTTTTCTGATGGGAAACTTCAAGCTTCTGGTTATCATTTATCAAATAAAATTCTACATTTCATTCTTTTTATTCTTTACTCCTATTATAGTCTTGTAGATTAAACTGGTCATTTGGTGGGACAAACATAACTTCTAACAATTGACAATAATAATTATATTGTAATGCTTTGGCTATTTGGCTAGATTAGTTTTTGCTGGGAAGAATTATTCTGATGGGAAGCTTCAAGCTTCTGGCTACTATTTAACAAATAAAATTCTACATTTCATTCTTTTGATTCTTTACTCCTATCCTATCATACTCTTGGAGATTAAATTGGTCATTTGGTGATGTGGTCCATGGTTCACTAGGGATTAAAATGGTATACCATTTATGTTATGACGAGCTAATTAATTAATTTTGTTACTTATGCTTTGTGTTGGTATACTAACTGCAAATGATGCCAGAACAGCATATTATAGATGATACTGATTCAAGCAATTTATACATATAATATTCAGGCGTGAAATGAGCATCTCGTTAACTATGAACAATTCAAATTTTGGTAGAAATGATTTTCGATGCCAAGTGGTAATAATCTAATGGAACAGTTGGATATTTTCTTATAAATATGTTGCCAACTAAAAATTCAAGGTATACAGATGCAAAATGATGTTATGTTGTACCAACTTTTTATCTTAGTTTTGTTCTCAGTTGGGCTAACCAATCCAGAAATAATGTGGTCTAAAGGACCATGCAGGTTGGTTAACTTTTTGATTCACTATATGATGTATGGGGCATAGAGTGAAATGACTTCTTTATTTTAGATAGAGATCTTGAGCCGTATTTGTCTTAGTGTGAAAACTTTATGTCCACTTCCCACATGGTGTTGGCTGATCAACTGAACTACCTCAAGTTCTTCTGTTATATCAAACAAGTTAGAGTTTCTATTTGCCATCAGCTTCTATGAGTAATGTTTAAGGCCCAAAGTTGTACTCTAGAGTGAAAGAGAAATATAATTTGAAGCATGGTAGAATTTTTTTCCAATTGACATAGATTTCGTTGATATGGACCCTCGCATTTCTCCTTTTTATATTTTTTCCTTGACAAATTTTGTATCTGACAAGTATGTACATGAGCAGTAATTTACATTTATATTTGCTTTTGGATATTGACAGCAATTGTGCTGCCGGGAAATTATTTGGAATACCACTTCGAGGGACACATTCTCATGCGTTTGTCAGCTCATTTACGGTAGGTGGTAGATGTATTATTTATGCCAAAATTTCCTGGCTGAAACAAAGGATTTACTTGAAGTCAGATTTCAGTTTTTCTTTCCTTGTAATTTTTACATTTTGACAATTATTCTGTATAACTTCTCTCCATTTTGCATTATGTAAGCTGCTTTATTTCAAAAGACAGGTTTACCTGGATCTGAAGATGATCCATTGAAGAGGTTTCGGTTGTTCATATTTCTTTCTTGAGAACCATTAATTGCTAGAGTACCCACGTAATAGTTACACAAATTTAGGATTAGTATAGGAGAGAACCTTTTCGTCAAGGTGCTGAGGGGTGTAACAGTGAGTAATTTTCTTTTGATTTTTCTTAGCTCTCTTATATTGTAGGAAGTGAGATGTGGTAATAGGCTTTGGAACTTGCTTTATTTATCTTGCCACTACCATTATTTGAGTTTCAAAAACCAAGAAACCATGTTCTGATTTATTGGTGATGCTTCAAGAAGAGTCAACATATGATTTAGAATACAAACACCTTTTTTTTTGCATAGTAAATAGATGCAGCAGTATTAATTGACTGCATAAATTTTTTTAATTATTTAATGTATTGTGCCTGCTGTCAAATCTTCTCAAGTCACAGCTTTCAGTTATCTTACTGGATCAAATTTTGCAGAGCCCTGATGAGATTGCTGAGAAATCACTCAAGAGTTGTGATAGCTCAATGACTTGTGAGGATTTTGTTAGTTTGGTTCGAATGTGGTTAAGCAGATTAAAGGTGCGATTGATACAGATTTGTTATTTACTCTTTTAAGTTGTTGGTTTTCTGCACTCTGTCTTGCTTCTGCGCTAACGCCTGCTAGATTAACCATTGTGTAAAGACACAAGTTGACAATCTCTTCAAATTTGACTGTTCATAACTTTCTCAAGTACTTTTTTGTTTTCTCCAAATTCTGATGTATAATATTTGTATATGTTATTAACTGCAATGATTTTTTATTTGGATCTTCATTTCATTGAGGCAGTTCGTAACAAGTGCGAACTTTGACAATTTTTCTTTTGTGAATATTATCTCGTGTCCTATTATGGTGCACTCGCTCAGTGATAAGTTATATTACTTGTAACCAAGGATATAATATCATATAGTTCAATATCTAATGGATAATAGATTAATGCAACTAACGTGATTGGATCAGAGAATGGTAGATGTGAAACTGTTGGCGCTTTGAACTGAGCTACCCAGCATATATCTGTGGGATATGTAGTGATACCCTACTCACCTTCCATCCATTCCATTCTTCAAAGGAAAAGGATAAAGAAAAAGAACTAAAAGAAATTGTATTTTTCCTCCAGTGTTTTATGTTTTATCGGGTAATACGACCACTTTTAACGTAATCATGTAGTCTGATTAAATTTTTGTTACCTGTGTAGCGGTCGGCTGTATTGGGTGGAATTTTCAGCGAAACAAATCAAAGTGAGTTAGCTGCTTTTGTCTCATACGCTCTTGCCTTCCCGAATAACTTTTTGGCCCTTGTTGACACATATGATGTAAGTATGATTTCAAGTTTTCTTTGTCAGTGCTTATAATATTCATGTCTACCAATACAGTTCTTTGTGACCTGATCGGCTCATTCTGGAATTTTTTGTTTCAGTTATCACTTATCATGGTCAATATTTATTAACTAACTTTGTTTTTTGTTTTATTTATTAAACATCCATTTTGCTATTATTTATGTGCAAAGTAACTTGTACACTGTCGGTTATAATATGAATATAGCATGCAAGAAGAACACAATGCTCTAACTCTAATGTATTGCAGTCCAGGAGATTTCTACCCTTCTGTTTTGATTTAGAACACGTTTCCAGTAAATTTTTTATTCATGTTGTATGCGATCTCCAACTTTTGTTCATCTCTTTCATTTTATTGATGAGCTTTAAATAATCCTTGTGAACAGGTTATGAGAAGTGGAGTTCCTAATTTTTGTGCAGTTGCTCTGGCTCTAAATGATTTGGGGTAAGTTCATAAGACATTCTCTAGTGGTACATTCATGTAGTGATATGTGCCAGCAAGATGTTACATATATCCATGATTTTGATATTTGCCTAATTTCTTTAGGTTTACAATGTGCTAATTATATATTGCATAAAACTAGTAGAAACCTTTGTGTGGGTGTGTATGAATAGGGCTCTACAGCATTTTCTTCTCTTGTTAGTGGTTTTATTTATTTTCAAGCAATTGTGTGCTGATTATTGTTATAAGTCTGGAAGAGAGTCTTTCTTTAATCGGCTTTCATCAGGTACAAAGCAGCAGGTGTTAGGCTGGACTCTGGTGATCTTGCCTACCTATCATGTGAGACGCGTAGATTTTTTCAGGCGATTGAAAAGGAGTTTAGATTGCCCGGTTTTGGAAAGACAAGCATTACAGCTAGTAATGACCTTAATGAAGTAACTCTGGATGCTTTGAAAAAACAGGTGAGAATCATTATATATATATATCCAGGTTTAGTGTATATCATTCAAATTTTAAGCACTCTTTTTTACCCAGGGCCATGAAATCGATGTATTTGGAATTGGGACGCATTTGGTCACATGCTATGCTCAACCTGCGCTAGGCGTTGTTTTCAAATTGGTAGAAATTAATAACCAGCCTCGTATCAAACTCTCGGAAGATGTTTCAAAGGTTTGACTTAGATCTCTGGATATGACATTCCCTATTTAAAAGTAAAATTATAAATATTGAATATTCATCTCATAACATTTATTTTAGGTGTCTATCCCTTGCAAAAAAAGATGTTACAGACTTTACGGGAAAGAAGGTTATTCCCTGGTGGACCTTATGACTGGGGAAAACGAACCACCTCCTAAGGTATTATTTTATTGTTTATAATATATATGATTGAGAAAACACTCTGCACATTGTAGTGTAACCATGGTTTAGAAAACCGATTTGACCAGCCGGTCCAACTAGTTGGAATGGATATATATATATATATATATATATATATATATATATATATAGGGTCACGCTCCGGTGAGAATGACTCTTAATGCGAGAAATGAGAATAAATCGTAGTCATTGGATCATCCGATCTAATGGCTAATAAAAAGTCAAACTTATACCTTCATTAAGGTTAATATGGACATTTAATCACACACCAAATTAATATCCACCACATTAGTGGGCCCCACCCCAATTAAAACATTTCACCCTCCCAGGCCACCCGTAACCTACCCCCTTTCTCTCTATCTCTCCCTCTTTCTCTCTCTCTCACACACACACACACTCCTCACGGCGATGCAGAGATGAATATTGCTCGGATCTGCCGTCACCGAGCTCCGGCGCCATAGCAATTCCCAAGTCGCCGTCGACCGAAGGCCCGCCGCACGTCACCCACGTTTCTGTCCAATTTCGTCGCGGAGGCAGGCCACGCCGCCCGTCACCAATGTCCGCCGGTTGCTGCTACGAGAAAGGATATCGGAGAGCCGATGCATCGCTATTCCCTTCTGTACCACTAGCCGCCGTCGCCGCGCGAGTTGGATATTATCGGCAGACGATGGTCGGGTTGGGCGGAAAGCTCCGGTGGCACCTTGATCCGCCGTTCAACTTTAACATATACAAATCGGCTCCGGCATCGAGCGCCTCCGGCGATGGATTGTCCGACACGGACGCTGCTGCTGGCGGTGTGGTGGGTGGAGGGATGGCGGGGGTGTGGTGGTTGAAGGTGTTGAAAGTAATTGGGGGCTAGGGCTTGTCTAATGAGAATTAGATGTATTAGAGGGACCTATTTGCAATTTTAAAGAATTTAAAATATAACTCCATATAATTAATGTTAAAACCTATAAATTAACAAAAAAATGTAATAAGTGCACACTATTGCTAGTTAAATTGCACAAATATTGTGTAATTTAACAAAAAATATTGCTAGTTAAATAATAAGTACACTTTTATAATAATAAATTATTTCAATTATTTAGATAAATTTGATGTACAATTTTATCTAATAAATTTAATTTTAAAAAAATACATAATCTATACATGGTTATATCAGTAGTGCACTTTATATATTAGTGCGATGCACTTTATAGCACAAAGTGTTGCACTAAATAAAACAAATCGCTGCACTCTATCACCAGGCTCTACTATTAACGTCAATAGCTCGCCAAAATACCACACAACATTAAAAAAAATGAATCTACATTAATATTTATCAAATCATATGTCCACACAAAAAAACAAAAAAAAGCATAAAAACATAAGCATTATAATGTAACAAAATTAAATGTCACTTTATATATCAACATCATGCACTTTATAAAACACCACGTTGCACTTTATAAAATACCACGTTGCACTTTGTAACACATAGCGTTGCACTTTATCGCGACTATCGGATTGTACAACGTATATCAAAATCAATCGACTTCAATTATTATTTTTTTGGTTAATCAGAAATAATATAAAAGTAATAAATTAAATTATATCGTATTAAATATATTTGTAATATAAATTAAAAAAATCTTTTGATTATTTAGGATAATTCGGTTAGCCAAAACGAATAAACCAATTAATCATGTTCAGCTTCAATTTGTTTAGAAAAAAATTCGTTTGGCTCAATATGCACAATACATACCGACAACATTTGGCTCAATCATTTTCGATGTACAATTTTATATAGAAAATCTAGTTTTAAAAAACACATAATTTATACGTGGCCATATAAGTATTGCACTTTATATATTATCGTGATGCACTTTATAACACAACACGTTGCACCGGATAAACAAAACGTGCACTCTATCACCATGTCATACAATTAATGCCAATATCTCCGCCGAAATACCATACAACATTAAATAAAAAAAAATCTACGTAATACTTTACCATCTATCAAATCATCTGTCTAAAAAAAGCAAAAAAAACACAAACATTCTAATGTAACAAAATTACAGTATGTCACTTTATATATTAACATAATGCACTTTATAAAACATCACATTGCATTTTATAAAACGAAGCGATGCACTTTATCGCGACTTTTGGATTGCACAACAAATATCAAAACCAACCGAATTCAATTTTTTGTTGTCAATCCGAAATAACATAAAAGTAATAAAATAAATTATAACATAGTTGTGAACTTTTACATAATAATGTGCATTTATGTAAAAACATGTCTTTATTTTTTAATGTGTACATTCTCACATAATAATGTGCATTTATGTAATTTTATTGTGCATTAATTAAACTTTTATTATATTACAGATTGGCCTCATGTGTTAGATTGAAATAAAAAGAAACTTAATTAAATTGCATTTGAGCCCCTACAATATATCAAATTTTCAAATGAAAACCCCACAATTCCTAAAAGCAAATTCAGACCACCCCAGTACAACTTCGCCGGAGCTCAGCCACCGAAAGTCAACGTCGATATGGTCACCGCCGCCGTCTTCATCGCCCAATACCTGAAGCCGCCACGGCCCGCCGCTAGGGCGCGACGACTCCATCTGCGCAAAAGGAAAAAAAAAACGAAAATCAACAGTTTTATTCTCACACATCGTCGCCGCCTTTGTGCGGGTACGGGAAAGGACGGCGGGGGTGACGCGGCTGCGGGAGCTGTGATAAACGCGTTGAAGGATCGCCGGCTGGTGTAGTCGGAGGTGGCGACCTTCCTCTCGCCGTCGGATCTGAGCATCAAGGTCAGTGATTGAGAATATATGCACGACGACGGCGACGCGGTGGAGTCATGGCGGCAGGCGGCGATAGACGGCGGTTGGGCGAGGATGACCACATAGTCGTCGGTCGGGGTCGACCACACAGGTCACTTGGTGCATCGGAATCTGAAAGCTTTCCACATCGACGACGTCGGGCTGGTGTCGAAGGCGATGAGTCCGGCGAGGCTTGCGGCAGCAACGCCGTTGATGTCCGACGACGGCGGTGGGTTGACGGCGGGGCTCCATCCAGATTGTGTGTGTGTGTGTGTGTGTCGGCTATGGTGTTTTTGTGTGTGCTGTGTGTGTTTATGTGAGAGAGAGAGGTAGGTTAGTGGTGTTAATGGTGGGGTCCACTTGTAGTGTATAATACCTGATTTATCCCCATTTAGTGGTATAATTTTTATAATTGACCATATTGTGTGCAATTATTTGCGAAAATGCCACTCATATTTGACTGTACTTTATTAAGTTTTGACTTGATCGTGTTCATTGGTTTGATCGATCCAATGATCTAGAATCATTCTCATTTTCTCGCATTAAGAGTCATTCTCATATGATCCTTTCTCT